CTCTCCCTTCGCATGCCTGGCCCCCCCCGCTCCCCGAGCCGTGCATGCCGTGTCCCACTGCGGTCCCACCCGCGTGCCCTTGTTTGGTGTCTGGGTTTTTTAGCTGGGGGGTTTGGGGGTGGGAAAGGGGTCAGGGACGGACCCTTGTGTCCAGGGGCAGAGGCAGGTTTGGGCAATGCAGACCTGGCACCATTTTATATGTACCAAGCATGTGAATTGTATTTGCGGGGAAAAGAGAAAAAAAAAAGGGGGGACTTCTGTGGCTTTTTTTTTTGAGAAAAAAAAAAGGGGGGACTTCTGTGGCTTGTTTGGTTTTTTCCCCACGTCTGTTCTCCATGTGCCTCAAGTAAGAAAAGCCAAAATAAGCAGACAAAGCCCAAGCAGGGCTGAGAGCAAGCGTGGAGCTGGGCAGAACCTGGAAAGGGCAGTTGGAGTCACTTGCACCACATACAGGATTTGTGCTTCTGTGCTTTCCTGCCCTGTGCAAGCCAGGGGAGTCCCGGGGTTCAGGCAGATGTTAAACCCCTGGAGTTCTGCTGGGATGTGCAGCCCATCGGCTGGTTGTCACCACCATCAGCTCCACAAACCCCTTAATAAACCAGCTTTCAGAGGGTCCTGAAGTCCCTATTAATAACTAATAAATGATTAATGAGCATATGTTAAACTGCTGCTGCTATTAATCTATTATTGATTATTAATAGGGTGTTTATAAGGATGCACTTAAGCTGGAGGGTGGAAAGCCAGCACCTCCCCTCCTGCTTGCAGGGAAATTGGGGTTGGGGGATTAAAAGGGTTCACATACACACAGCAGTGTGCTCACATGCATGTACACACACACACACAGAGCCAAACCCTTCCAATGAGACTGGAAAACGGGGCTACACCTCCCCAGCACCCAAATTTCCCTCCGTGCCTGGCCTGCCCCATACCAACCCCAATCCCAGCTTTCCCAGCATGGGACTGGGCCAAGGACGAGGAGACTGAGGGGTGGTGGAAGCAAAGAAACACTTCCACCTGCAGGAGAAAGGAGCCCTGGGCCAGTTCCCAGCTTCTACACCCCAAAATTCCACATCCCACTGCTCCCCGTGGACCAGGGAGGCTCCAGCACCCGCCTCACAAGCACAACACAGGGTGGTTGTGAAATAACTGGGTGCTGCCAGTGCCCTGCACCTCCTGCAGCCACCGTGGCAAGAGCTGTCATGGGAATGAAAGAGGAAATTGGGGTTTTTTGTCATTTCCTGCATGAAAAAATACCACATGGCACAAGAGCACCCAGGAGGTGAAGGGTTGGGGTTACAGTTTGCACCAGTGCTGAAGGGTCTGGGTGCCCCGTGGCCTCAGGGACACCCACAGGAGCCAGGGCTGAGCCCACCCGCTCCCTCAGCAGCATCTGAGGGATGAGAGTTGCCAGGACTGAAGATGCTGAGGAACCAGCTCAGGTGGTTTTGATGCCCTTTGTGCCCACACAGGCCTAGCAGTGCCACAGGTATCACCCTGACCTACCTGGAGCCAGGCACGAGCATCCCTGCAGCAGCCACACACTGAGAGTAGTGTTGGAGGGGGAAGAAAACACCAAAAAATAGAGACAATTAGGAAAAAAAACAATTTTCCAGTGGGTGCATTTAAAGATCATATCTCCCACTGGGAAGGGAAACCAATTTCCTTACAAATTAAAAAGGTTTCAGCTAAATAAAACTCCCCTGCATCAGTTCTCCAAATCCCACCCTGTGCAGCTCAGGGAGGGGCAAAGAGCCCCACAGTTCCTGGACCACAGACTGCAACTACCATCACTGTCCTGCTGCTGCTTTATCCCCCTGGACAGGACAAGGAAGCCACCCATGGATTCAGGGGTGCCCTGATGCTTGCAGAAGCAAATCAGCACTTGCTTACCAGTTCTGCAGGGCTTAGCAGTGTAAAATCACGGTCCTTTTTAAGGGCTTGGATTGCTTTGAAACTTGGCATTGTCTCCTTTATTCTATTAAGAGGCATCAGGACATTTGCAGCTAATATTCCTGCAAAAGGCAATTCCTGCTTGCCCACTGCAGGGCTCCTCCGGGCTCATGCCCCCTCTCTGTAGCTTGATGGGGTCACATTCATTGCATTAATTCTGCAGTTTTATTCCTAATGGTCTCTGGTAGATCTTGAAGGTAACATTAGTCATTAGGGAAAAATATTGATGCTTCTAACGATTTACTGTTGCTTAAAACAGTTTGTGGTACAGTCATTAACATAAATTGCTTACTGGGATAAGGGGTATACATACACTGACCCCATTGCTGAACATCAATAAGCCCAGGATCCTTCTGAATCTTAAATGCTCCATTTATATTCATAGCATC